TTCTCTAAGATATACCTCTTCTTGTTCTAGAACTTTGTGCCAAATATCTTCCTACACCTTAGAAGATTGCAGATGGAAAGATCAAGAAACAGGCTGAGAATTGTGATCTTTGATCTTCATACAAGCAAATTAGGTATCATTTGGTGGCCACAAAATCTAATAAGTTGACTGTATGGTTAATATAATGTTTGACTTGGACTGACTTCAACCTGCTGCAATCCTCATAGCTTAAACTTGTACCTAATTCTTTATTCTGTCCTTTCATCAGTTTTGTTACTTTTTGTTTAATTAACTCAAATACTTTACAAATTATGTACTTTGGTGTTAGTTTGATTTATGCTAATAAAAGAATCGCTCAGCTATGATTTTTTTCTCTTATGAATCAAAATGTCTATGATTGTTTTTATATTTCATATTCCTAAAAACATGCTGCTAATAAGCCTTATGTATTCTGTCAGGCAGTGCTTTTTTCTTTTTCTTTTTTTACTTCTACTCCAAAAGGAATGAGCTATGCAAAATTAAGATAAAATATATTCATAGAAATCTCCATTTCAGGAGGGAGGACTTCCTGGAAGAACTTCTTAAATCTACAGTAGATTCTTTTCAAAGAAAGCTTATTGAAAATGTATGTTGTTTATGTAACCTTTGATTTATTTACAAATATAAAAATAATACAAGCAGCATAACCAGGCCTTACAAACAGCAGGCATTCCTTCTGTCTTTATCCTGGAAAATGTAGAGTAGATATTTGTGTTTGAACTGGTACTTCCACGAAAGAAGGCTGAAAAACTGGTTGAAATAGTGATAATCAGATAGGGAATATCAGCAACTGAACACAAATAAACCACCACTTCCAGTAGTTGATATGCTAAGTTCTTAAAATATTAAATTGTCCAGTGATTGATTTTCTAAGACAAATATAGAACGTTGAAATGTACACTAGAAAAAGAGTTTCAAGACAGAAATAGTGGATAGCTTATCCTTTGTTCCAGGTATCATCAAGGGAAAATAAAATAACAAATAAAAAGATAAGATTTGCAGAAACCCCACAACCTACCCTTGTTTCTGAAACAATCTCACTGACTCTTTATAGCTTTTTAATTGTACGTACAAAGTGTGAATAAATAGTATTAATAGGAATAGATAATTTAAAGGATTTTATCAAAATGTCTACCATAAAGTCATATTTAACCATCATAAGAAGATATGTGTATGTTAAGTTTAAATGAAGAGTTGTGATCATGCAAGGTTTATCTATGCTTTTAACTCATTAATAACTTACCTAAGCATGATCTAAGTTAGCAGAGAAGATATTTATTGAAAATTAATTTGTGAAAATGCTGGCCAGGAAAATTCTCCATATCTCTTCCAGGTGAAGGAATCAACAATAAAACTGGTCCTGGATGGTTTTTGTTGACCACATTATATCCCCTATTCTCTGTAAAGAAAGCCTGAGTCTATAAGAATGACATTGAGTGACATGAAACTATGTAATAAATGCATTCACTAGGGCAGCTTTTCTCAACTTCAGCAACTTTAATATGTGTGGACTTCAACTTCCAGAATTCCCCAGCCACTGTACTATGGTATGGTTAATATGCAGGCGTGAAGCAGTTGCTGGGAAAGATTAGAAAATAAGAAGAGATGATTAATTCAAATTTGCTGTTTTTCCATGGAAAGTATTCCATCGACACCAGATTTTCTCCAATTAGACTTACCGTATTTTCCGCCGTATAAGACGACTGGGCGTATAAGACGACCCCCGACTTTTGAGAAGATTTTCATGGTTTAGAAAGTCGTCTTATACGCCGGAAAATATGGTACTTTTAATTTCAGAGTTGGGAGAAAGTACCATTTTCAAACAGTCTAAAGATAAGATTGGGAAAAATAATAATAATGGTCACAAACTCAGTCTCCAAAATGTTTCTTACCATTTAATTAGCATTATTATTTATTTAATATGCTTTATTCTAGGTTTTTAGTATACAAATACTTTCTAAAATGGCTCAGCAATCATTATTAAAAAGAGATTCACGTAACACACACACACACACACGTACCTACGGTATATACAAGAGATTTGCAACTTCTGCAGTGAAGATAGTAGTTGAAGGCCTTTTGTGATGATCATCTGCCTGGACTCATGCTCACATTCTACTTGCCCTACTGTGAGCCTACAAAGCACTCTTAAGACAGGGATGTACAATATTATCTTCAACCTGCTCTCAGTCTATATATCTCAGTCTATGACTGAGTTGCTTTGGGTATAGGATCATGTGATAGTCTCTAGATTACAGAGGGTTTTGGGGTGTGGAATTCTGAGGTAGCATGGCAGACTGAACATGATTACTTTTTGTGGAGCCAATGAATGTGGCTAAAATACGAGCTCCTCAGAACTCTTATCCAGGCTAAAGAGAAGACAAAGATCACCCGTGTTTGGCTCCATACAGATTCTCCTTGCAAAGAGATCACAACACAGTGCTCTCCAGTCAGTTTGAAAGATCTTGGGGCTGGGCAAATATTCATCTTGCCTGTCTATGGATATTCTCAATCATCCAGGTCACTGTTGTTTTCAAAAGGCAAGTGGACTTTGGGGTTGTTTTTTTCCCTTGAAAATGTTTCACTTCTAATCCAAGAAGTTTCTTCAGAACTGAAGAATGTTCCAACGTTACCTTCTGAAAAGCACTTTTGGGATATTCATCTTGGCAAAGCCTAACTCATTGCCTTTTAAAGAGAGACTGTGTTGCCTATTTCCTTAGTTATTTTATGAGTATGCTTATTACTTATTTCTGGAGTTAAGAATCTTCTGAAAGACAATTTTTATTATACCGGGAGATTTTCTTTCTGTTCCAAATGAAAGAAACCCTGAATAAGTTTAAGGTTCAAGAAGAGAAGGTTTAATTTTGGGAAAACAGAAGAAGTAGGATTTAGAATGTTGATTTTGGAAAGTTTAAGAAGTTAGATGGACTCGAAAGAATATTTCCTGTGGGTGCTTAAAAAAATATGAAATAGTACGTGAAGTTTTTGAAATTAATGGTAAGAAACCCTCTCATGGGAAAATGTTTCTGACTAGAAAATAAACAGATGATAAGAGGAGACTCTCATGGTTCCAACTAATGGACCCAAACAAATCAGAACTCTGAGGCTTGAAGTTTCCTCAAATAACATGTGTATTGGATACATAATATGAGCACAATCAAAAGTGAAACCAACTCTAAACTTCCCTCCCCCCAGGAATTCAATGTAACTATTGAATTCCCCCTACTATGCTATTGACCACACTACCCAATGAGGACAATTGGCAGGTTCCACAACACTTCTTCTCTCCACCTTTCAGCACCTGTGGGAATGACCTTGGTTCCCAGGGAATTGCTTTGTGTTTAGTCTAGCAATCCCTTCAGTTTCTCCCCCCCCCCCCCCGCCACCTTCCTCCCAACCTGTGTAGCAACTGAGAATGACAAAGATGGCTTCAGCCAGGTTCATTTCAGAAGGTGACAGGGACTTGAAAGCTGTCCTCGGGGAACTAAAAAGAGCAAAGGATTATTCTTAAAGGAGAACAAATGAGATTCAGCATCATGGAGATACTGAGAACCTTTGTTTCTAATCTAAAAATCTAAATACAGAGAGTCCTTGACTTACGACCACAACTGAGCCCAAAATTTCTATTGTAAGCAAGACAGTTGTTAAGTGAATTTTGCTCCATTTTATGATCTTTCTTTCCACAGTTGTTAAGTGAATCTGGCTTCTCTGTTTGGTGATCACATGACCTCAGGACACCTCAATCATCATAAATATGACTCAGTTGCTAAGGGTCTGAATTTTGATCACACAACCACAGGAATGCTACAATGGTCGTAAGTGTGAAAAACGGTCATAAGTCACCTTTTCCGGGGCTGTTGTAAGCTTGAACGGTCAATAAATGAACTGTTATAAGTCAAGGGCTACTTGTACCTGCCTTGCCAATGAAAACGTATTAAGCAATAGAGGAAAGCTATTGGACGTTGCTGGAGTTTTATTTGAACAGCATGTGTAGGCAATACTGTTTGCTTCAAAGACAGCTGGAGGAGGTGAAGATCCAGCAGGAGCAAGTAGGACCTCAGGGACATATGCTGAACAGACTGACTGGTACAAAGCTTCAGTTTTTGAGAGGCGGATCAGACATCAGCAAGGATAGCCTGGCAAGTGTCCTAGATTCCAAAAACTCAAGATTTTTTTTTCTTCCTTCTTACCAACTTGTTTCCCTAGACTAAAAGCAAGCTGGGAAACAAAAATGCTAAAACAAAAAAAAAAGTTGGTGAATCACAGAGGGACCAAAACAGATAAAACACTGTTGTTATTGTTTGGTTTGTTTAGTTTAAAAAAAAAAAAAGCTTTAATTTGGAATTGTTGTTATAGAACTGTATATTTATAGGTTGTTAAGCTAAGGCCACTATCTACATTGGCAATAAACACATATTATCTTCCTAAAAAGCACTGCAACAGTAAACATCACTATAATGTCAAAGACAATAGCAATGTTTGTGTATTCCTGGAAAAATTCTGTTCTTTTTCCTATCTCCAATGCTCCTGTATTTACATTAAGTCTAAAAAAAAATATTGCTATGATACTAAGAGATATGGCAGAACTCAGATCAAGGACTTAAAATATATTTTAAATATTTTTTATTAAATATTTTACAAAGAAATTTATTTACATAGAAATAAAAAAAATAAAAAATAAAAAGAAGCTTCCAATTTCCTTTGCAGCAAATGCAAGTACAAAGTTATCTCCTAATATTATATATATATATATGTAAACTTCATTCTTTTCTATTATCCATTTTTTTCCTAATCTTCAAAACCACAAATCATAAATACATTTTGTTCTGTTTTACACAAAAAGTCTATAAAGGGTTTCCAATCAACTACAAATGTAATCTTGGGGGGGGGGGTTTCTAATCAAAGAAATTAATTTTGTCATTTCTAAATGTTCCCTCATCTTCACCACTAATTTTTCCACATTTTTGAGAAAACAATGCTCAAATACCGTATGTCTTGCTGCAGCTGTCACACATATAAAAGCAAAGTTCCATGACTTTTTTCTACTTGCTTGTCATTAGTTTCAAAGAGAAGACATTTTTTAAATATCTTCTGAATTAACATACACATTTGTATCCAAAAGTTTCTGGTTTACATGTGAACAAAACATGATACAATACCTTTTCATGTTGTTCATTTGCAGCATGAATGTAAAATGCCGTTCTGTGTTCTAGACAATTTTTAGCCAAATACCAATGATTCATCATTTCATTAAAATTCTCTCTAAGAATAGAACATAATATAAATCACATTTTCAACCACATATTTTCTCATTGGTCTTTTTATATATTATAATCAAAATTTTAACCCATTCTTTTACTTGTTCTTCTGTCTCATATTTCAGCAAAAGCTTATACACTTTAGCAATAACATTTTATTCATTAGTACATGGTTCTATTTCAAAGTCACCTTACTTTATTCAAAACCATACAATCTTTTATCCAGTTTAAACCTTTCTGTTAATTGTACATAAGAAAACCATTATCAAGAGTATTCTTCTGTTGTTTAATCTCCTGATTTCATTTTATAGTTTCCTTGAGATAATTTTAATACATCAAGATAAATTAATCTTTTGTGCTTTAGTATCATTTCTCATCTATAAAATTCTTCTTGTGCTGAAAGTCACAGAGATATTGTGACAGAATCTTAGTTTATATTTATCCCATACCTGACACAGTAATTTTTAAAGTCTGCATTTATCTTAACTTTATCATCCCATAACTATCCATGTCATCCAAATCTCAAATTATAACCTCCAAATCCAATAACCTTTTGCTTCTTAATAACAGCCATTGGTTCATCCAAACCAAATATTAGGCAACAAAATACAGTTTCAAATCTGGTCAGCCCAATATTCCTCTTTCTTTTGTAACTTAGGTTTTTTTCCTCACCATACAAATTTAGATATATTCTTCCACCATTGTTTAAATGGCGTATCAGTTGTCAAAACAGGTATTGTTTGAAACAAAAATAACATTCTACACAAAATATTTTTCTTAATCAACCCAACAGTGACAATTGTAGTTTATCCTATCTTAGCGTAGATTTTTACCTTCATTCCATATTTTAACATAGTTATTCTGAAATAGAATACAATTTACATTTATCACAATTATTCCCAAATATTTTAGATTCTTCTTAGTATTAAAGTCTTCTTTATCAATGCTATTTTATCCTGCTAGTGACCCAAATTCTTCTAATTTATTCATCAAAATTCAATTCCTTTAAAAATGTCTGCCAAAATTAAATCTTAATTTATAAGCCTCTTTTTTAATTTTTACTCCCACTGTCCTGTCTTGTTTCCATTCAATATTTTAAAGTACCAAAATAAACAAGAGATGAGAGAAAAAAATGGGCAGCCTTCTCTTATTCTTTTTTGTATCCCATATGATTTTGTTAGTGTTTTCTGTGAAGTACAAATCAATTTTATCCATTTTATAAAATTCTATATAATATTCGTATCTTCCAAAATCTTAAAAGAAAATATCCAGTTATAAAAAGCCTTCTCTGCATCTAAAAAAAAAAAAAAATCAGTGTGGCTTGTTTTTCATTATGTTGTTCCAAATATTCCAAAATATCCAACACAGTTCTAACATAATCTTTCAAGTGACTTTTAAGTAGCAACCCACATTGATCTTCATGAATAAATTCTTCCAAAATTATTTTCTGTATTTCAAACATTGTAAATAGCTTATAGCAATTGTTCAACAGTAATATTGGCCTATAATTTCTTATAGCCAACTCATATCTTGTCCTTCTTTGGGCATTACTGTAATATTAGCTATTTTCTCTGGCATCTTTCCTCCCTATAAAATAGAAATTCATTATACTGTTGTGGAAAAACCACAATACTTACATCAGAAGACAAGACCACGAAGGGTTGGAGAAAACAGGCTTTATTTGTGCACAATGGTTCAGAGCATTAGCATGACAGATTCTGAACCCTGAGTTACTCCCAGGGTGTCATTTTTATACAGCTTGCCGCCCACACTTAACCTAATGGATGGCTTCTTATCTACCTTTAACACACTAAAGGAGAGAAGTTCATATCTTGAAACCACACGCATAGGAAAAAGGAAAGTTTATACAATGTGCAGAGAACCACACTCCCCTACACGTGTAATATCTTACACCATTTGTGACTTTCGGTTGGCATTTCTTGTAAAAATGTTTCTTCATAGAATTGCACACAGGTCATCACACTCAGCTAGTTTATAGTATTAATGCTTTCAAAACATCACCTCTGTTAATTAAAATATAATTCAAAAGCACTTTATCATTTCTCTTAATGGCAATTTTCCATCTATCTCATTTCCCCCCTTTGAAACTTCACTTAAATCTTGAGATTATTGGGGAGTTTCATGTATTGGGGGGTCTCCATCTGGAGCACTCAGTTTTACATACTCCTCCCTCATCCCACAAGGCCATAACTTGGGCTATGGCTAACAGGGAATTAATGACAATACTAATCAGCAACACCACAACCACCCAAATAGTTGGCATGAGCCCCTTTCTAATACAAGCAGTTTCCCTCATCCTTTGGCTGGGTTCCATGCTTAGAAAACTCTAAGACTAGTGATGCGAACGTAGCTTCCAGGGCAGGGGATTTTTGTTGCCCGTGCGATGAGTGTTAGCTTCCGGAGTAACACCTGCAGGGGTTTTCTTCACCTCTCCCGTTCGCAGGGGGACAGCTTCCGGAGTGTCACCAGAAGTGGAGAGGCTCCTTCTTCTACGATGAAGGGTAAGCTTAAGAGGTTGAGTTGGGTCACTAGTCACTTTCCACTGGGTGGGGGCAGCCAATTTAACTCGGGACCAATGGATCCACGATTTGATTTCAGCTATCTTAACAGTAAGGGGAGAACACATAACAACAGTATACGGCCCTTTCCACTTTGGGCTTAAAACTTCCCTCTTCCAGTCCTTTACCCAGACCTCCTGTCCCGGTTGTATATTATGTGTTGGTGTAACCAAGACATGGGGTCTTTGGGTTAGAACATATTGTTGTAGCCTCTGGACTATAGTGTTAAGAGCCTGCAGCTGTTCTAATTTAACAGTATCTGCCACTTGTCCAGAGTTCTGGACACCTGGTTTGAGTAAGTTGGGGACTCTGCCATACAATAATTCAAAGGGAGACACGAGCAGCCCCCTTTGTGGGGCATACCTTATCGCAACCAGGGCCATATTTAAAGCATCTGGCTGAGTTTCCTGACATATTTTTGCCAATTTTTCCTTAATGTTCTATTCATTCTCTCCACCCTTCCTTCCGATTGAGCATGGAAACTACAGTGAAGCTTCCATATTATTCCTAGCATAGCTGCTGTCTTTTGGGTGGCTTTATGGATAAATTCAGGACCATTATCTGAAGAGATTCTAGATGGCAACCCATACCTGGGAATAATAATATGAAGCAAGGCATTTGCGACCTCAGTTGCTTTTTTTTTTCTCTTCCTTGTAGGGATGCAATCCGGCCATCCAGTGTACGTACATATTATGACTAGCATTGCTTTATAGGGACCTGAGCATGGCATGTCAGTGAAATCAATCATCAAGGAATCGAAGGGATAATTTCCTCTGGGCTGATGTCCTTGAGGCAGTTGGGGTCCTTGTCTTGGGTTGTTGGCTGCACAGATCTCACATCTAGCACAAACATTTGCTGCAATACTGTGTATTTTGTCAATATAAACCTCTCTCTTCAAGGCATTTGCCAGTGCCACCTTTCCCAGGTGCAGTTGCTTATGAACCTGTTGCACTGCATCCCATGCCATATATCCTGGGAAAAAGACTCGCCAGTCTGGCAAAATCCACCATCCATCTTCCTGCCTTGCTTCCAGCACCTCAATTTGTTTCAAGTCTTCCTGAGAGTAGTTTGGTTTAATCTGGTCCTGTTCCTGAGGGGTCCACAAAGCTAGACAATTTGTATGTTCAGAAGGTGCCTTTAGTCCAGCAATGCGAGCTTCCCAGTCTGCCTTATTATTTCCTAATTGAATATCTGATGCTTCCTTTTGATGCCCTTTGCAATGCATTACAGCTACTTCTTTAGGCTCCCACACACTATTCAGCAGACGCAATATTTGTGGTCCATACTTAACATCCTTTCCCCCTGAAGTTATAAGTCCCCTTTCTTTGTATAAGACTTGCACTTGCACTCCATGGACTTGCACTTAGAGTCTGTGTAAATATTGATGCACTTTCCTTTTGCCAACTCCAAAGCTCTAGTTAATGCATGTAGTTCAGCCAGCTGAACACTTTTACCGGGCGGAAGGGGCTCAGCTTCCCAGACTTTCTCCAAAATTACCACAGCATATCCTGCTTTTCGAGTTCCTTCTTGCATAAAACTAGTTCCATCCGTGTATATTGTAAAGTCTGGATCAAGCAGGGGGACATCTCTCATGTCTGGGCAGCTAGCGTAAGTTTCTTCAATAGCTTGTATGCAGCGGTGTGTGGTTTCCAAATCTGGTTCAGGCAGCAACGTGGCTGGATTCAGTGAGTTTGATTGAATTAGGTGTTATTAGGGCTTGGTATTTTAGCATGCATGGGTTGGTCAGTCACAAATGTTCTTTTGCTTCCAAAACAGCTTTAAGGGCACTTGGTATGTGGATATCCAATTTCTGCCCAAAAGTCAATTTATTAGCTTCCTGTGCTTCCTTAATAACGCTGTTCCAGCAATTGCTTTAAGGCAAGCCGGCCATCCTCTGGCTATATTGTCAAGCTGTTTAATCAGATAAGCAACTGGGTGATGCCAAACCCCCATCTTCTGAGTGAGAACTCCTACTGCCACAGTTGAAATAACTTTTCCAAGTCTGGTAGACCTAAACTAGGGGCGCATATTAGAGCCTCCTTGAGAGCGGTGAAGCTGTTATTTTCTTGCTGTTCCTATCGCAATGGTTTTTTTATCTCCCCCCTTTGTGGCCTCATATAGGGATTTTGCTATTAAACTAAAGGTAGGGATCCATATTCGGCAGAAGCCAGCAGCAACTAAAAATCCTCTTAACTCTTTCCTATTCTTCGGTACAGGCAGCTGGCAGATAGTGGATGATGCCTTGCAAAACCAGGGGGGTTGTCCTCTGCCCACAAATATGGTACATCAAATTCTTCCCATCTGGCATTTTTCTCTATCATTTGTGCCAGCATCACCATTCTCCATTCCTCTGCACAGGGTACTTCCATCATCACCTTTCCATATTTTATGGCCATTGTGCCATCCTCTTCAAAGGAGATCTGTACCCTTAATTTACAAAGCAGATCCCTTCCCAATAGAGGAATTGGCATATATACAAACTGATGGGTTATAGTTTTTCCTCCCATAGTGCAACTTAAGGGCTCCAAAAAGGGTCGCTGTAATATTTTTCCTGTTGCTCCTTGTATATTGATAGAGTGAGGGGAGGCTTGGCTTAGGGGTTGGGTTAGGACTGATCGGGTGGCTCCAGTATCCACAAGGAAGGGAATGGGTTTGCCTCCTACTATTAAACTGACCACAGGTTCTGGGAGGCGGGCTGAACCCGGTCAGTCTCAGTCCCATTCTTCTGTTTCTGCCAGGCCTATGAGGGGGTCCTTGAAAATCTTTCTCTTCTTCCTCTCCCTCCCTGGCCTCTTCTTGGGTTATCTCTGAAGCTTCTTACAAACTTTGCAAATCTTCCTCTTCCCTCTCCCTGTTCCTCTTCCTTTTCTCTTTCTGGACATTCACCCTTCCAGTGTCCTTCTTCTTACATATGGCACACTGGCTTCGTCCTAACACCATTCCCCTTCCTCTACCTCTTCCACCTCCCCTCGACATCCCCATTATAGCGACTGCCAGCAATTCAGCTTTCTTTTGCATTTTCTGATCTTTTTTCTTTTCCTCCTCCTTTTCTCTATTCACAAAAGTCTTTCGGGCCACTTCCATCAGTTCACTCATAGGCTTTCCCAGGGCTCCTTCCAGTCTTTGCAGCTTTCTTCGAATATCAGGGCCACTTTGCGAGATAAAGGCCATGGCAAGCATTTGAGCATTGTCAGGCTCTGTTGGATCAATAGGTGTACAAATTTGGTAGGCTTCAAGCAACCGAGCGTAAAATGCTTCCAGACTCTCTGTGGCTTCCTGTACTACCAGGGATAGTTTAGATATATTAACAGATGGTTTTCCTGCTGCATGAACTGCCTGCACCAATAACTGTTGATAAACCTGCAAATCCCCGAGGTCATGATATGACCTCTATCTTGGTGCTTCTTGACCTCTCAGCGGCTTTCGATACCATCGACCATGGTATCCTTCTGCATCGTCTTGGAGAGTTGGGGGTGGGCAGCACCGTATTGCGGTGGTTCTCCTCCTACCTCTCTGACAGGTCGCAGTCAGTGTTGGCAGGCGGACAGAGATCGACCCCTAGGCGCCTCGATTATGGGGTGCCTCAGGGCTCAGTCCTGTCCCTCCTTTTTAACATCTACATGAAACCGCTGGGTGAGATCATTCGGCGACATGGGGTGAGGTATCATCAGTATGCGGATGATACCCAATTATATATCTCCACCCCATGTCCTTTCAGTGAAGCAGTCGACGTGATGTGCTGGTGCCTGGAAGATGTGAGGGTCTGGATGGGGGTGAACAGGCTTAGACTCAACCCTGACAAGACCGAGTGGCTCTGGGTCTTGCCCCCCAAGGGTCATTCCGATGGTCCATCATTAGTCCTGGGGGAGGAAAATTTACCTCCCTCAGTGCAGGCACGCAACTTGGGTGTCCTCCTGGACTCACAGCTAAATTTGGAACAACATCTATCGGCTGTGGCCAGGGGGATCTTTGCCCAGGTTCGCCTGGTGCACCAGTTGCGGCCTTATTTGGACCGGGAGGCTCTACTCACAGTTGCTCATGCCCTTGTCACCTCAAGACTGGACTACTGTAATGCGCTCTACATGGGGCTACCCTTGAAGAGCGTTCGGAGGCTGCAGTTGGTTCAGAATGCAGCAGTTGGTTCAGAATGCAGCCATGAGAGTGATTGTGAGTGCCCCAAGGTACACACACGTGTCACCTATCCTCCGCGAGCTGCACTGGCTTCCTGTGGGTCTCCGGACGCAATTCAAGGTGTTGGTTGTCACCTTTAAAGCCCTTCATGGCTTAGGACCAGGTTACTTACAGGACCGCATACTGCTGTATAGTTCCCAGAGACCAGTGAGGTCCCACAGATTGGGCTTCCTTCAGGTCCCGTCGGCCAGACAATGTCGGCTGGCGGGCCCTCGGGGAAGGGCCTTTTCTGTGGTGGCTCCAACGTGGTGGAATCAACTTTCCCCCGAGATTCGAGCTACTCCCACCTTGCCGGCCTTCAAGAAAGCTATTAAAACTCTCCTGTTCCGGCAGGCCTGGGGTTGATGTCTCCGGGGGGACCGGGATTCGATTGGGACATGCTGTGTGAATGTATTCATTTTTTAATCGTTACACTTGTTTTAATTTTGTATGCCGCCCTGAGTCCCTAGGGATTGGGCGGCATATAAATTTTACTAATAAATAAATAAATTCCATGAAGAATCTTTGGAAGTTTCTCTCAATGTGTTCCTCAAGAGAACAAAGCAGTGGGAGAGAGGGCTTTACTATTTTTATCACTGCCATCCTAATCTTTTCCCTTTCTTCTGGATTGAACAAAGTCCCCATAAACTGTTGCATATCCATCCAGTTAGGGTTGTGGATGTCCACAATGGTCTTTACCAAGTCTGCCACTTCATTTGGTTTTTCACTAAATGGGCCATAATGAAATTTCCAATTAAGAAGGTCTGATGTGGTAAAAGGCATATATTGGAATAGAAGAGCTGTGGCTGTTTCTGCTGGATCGTCCTTACTGACAACCAATTGATCTACTTGTCTAAGGGGAGCATTCAAAGACGCTTCCTCAGTCTTTGCCCTCGTTTGTTTGGCTATCAGTCCTCCCACTTCTCTGTCTTCTGTTTGCAGTCCCGTCCATTCCTCCTCTGCCTTGGACCCCCTCAGCACTTCTTGCTGAAAGTCCAGCTTAGGTCCCTTGATCCTGGACATCTGGTTGCATTATGGCTTGGCCCCAGCTTTTTCTATCTTTGAAACTTTTTAACATAGGGGACAGTCTTGCATTTCTGGATCCATGGTGGAGGTCTTTGCAACAAGCCGAGCCACACATCAATATAGGGTGCCTGGTCTGGGTGCCCTAACGTGGGATGGAACACTAGCTGATGTACTTTTAGAGCAATGGATGGATCTAGCGTCCCTGTGCTTGGCCAGCCTATGTTAAAGCTGGGCCAATCTATCTCACAGAAGGTCCTCAACTTATGCCTACTCCACTTAATACCATACTCCTGATCCCATAGGCCAACTTAAAATGCTTTAACATACACCCCAACAGAGTAAGGGGTACACTTTCACCACCCTCCATGAGCCTCCCAGGGCACCAGACAAGACAAATGAGGAAAATGGATGAGAGGAAGGTAAGGGGTCTTTCCACTCGGGATGACACTGAGGGTTTCACTTATATGTGCTAGACCCAGGGAGCCGGACACTCACGGTCACTGATGGGAATTTCGAGCGCCACTCACTCACTGCAAACACACACAACAATCCTCCCACCTTATCCTAAAGAAAGGGTGATCAGTCCTCTCCTCCGTCCCTGTTTACAGGGAGGGATTCCTTATTTCCCTTTCAATACTTGCCTGCAGGCGAATCCTTTGTCCTCTAGCCGGCTGGAAAGATGCCTGGTCTCCTCACCCTTCATCTGTGTTTCTTGGAGTGGCCGACCGCCAATGCTGGACTCCTGAGTCACAGGGAGGTCCCTTGGAATAAAAGGTCTGATGGCACCTGGGATGTCCCTTTAACACTACAGGCCCCTGGCACTGGGGTGTGCCCTCCCGAGAGCCCCAAGACTCCTTGCCGTCCTGCTGCGGTCGCCAGATAATTGTCGTGGAAAAACCACAATACTTATATCAGAAGACAAGACCACGAAGGGTTGGAGAAAACAGGCTTTATTTGTGCACAATGGTTCAGAGCATTAGCATGACAGATTCTGAACCTTGAGTTACTCCCAGCTTGCCGCCCACGCTTAACCTAATGGATGGCTTCTTATCTACCTTTAACACACTAAAAGAGAGAAGTTCATATCTTGAAACCACACGCATAGGAAAAAGGGAAGTTTATACAATGTGCAGAGAACCACACTCCCCTACACGTGTAATATCTTACACCATTTGTGACTTTCGGTTGGCACCTTGTAAAAATGTTTCTTCATAGAATTGCACATAGGTCATCACACTCAGCCAGTTTATAGTATTAGTTAATGCTTTCAAAACATCACCTCTGTTAATTAAAATATAATTCAAAAGTACTTTTGAATTAATGGCAATTTTCCATCTACCTCAATACAAGTAATCCTTCAGGTATGGCAGATCATTTAATGACTGTTCAAAGTTACAACCTGCCCCCTAAAAGTTATACAACCCTGTTTCAAAGTTACAAATTATGCAGAAGTCACCCAGTCATTCACTCTTACTAATGGCTTATGTAGAATTCTTAACTTTGCAGAGATGCTGCAGCAAATCCACATATCTATCCCCCCTCCATCCTGCCCTGCCAGGTCCCCAAAGGCACTGGGCTTTGTCTCCAATGGATTTCACGCAACCCTCTTCCACTTCTCACATGCTCACCTTCAGAATTTCTGCAGAATTCAGGAAGCTGTGAAGGAGGAGGACACGTGGGAGGCTTCCAACAGCTTCTGTTCAGCCTGTTGTAGAATCTGAGCTTCCTGTATGGGGCAGAGTAACTTCAATGTTCTCAGTGTTGACACAGTCAGATCAGCTTACTAATTTTTTGTTTTCTAAAATATTCATCTATTTTCTCCAATTGAATATCATGCCTTTTATACTAATTAGAATAATATTCATAAAATGGTTTTTGTATAGGTACATTGTTCATTTATATAGAATCTCCCTCCTGTAATTTCAATATAATTTTCATTTATCTTTCATTTCACAATTTATAAGCCAGCCATTTCCCTGGCTTATTTTATTTATTTGCAAATTCATAATTTCTTTGCATAATTCAATTTTATTTCCATTTTGCTTATCATTAACACAGATAATTGTTGTTATAAAATCTTAATTTATTGGGAGATACTAGTGCTCCCAGATACTTAAAATATGATAAAAATTGATATTCACATTATTTTTTTTTTATTGAAAATTTTTATTTTTTAGATATTCACATTATGATGTGTCCTATCAACTTTAAATTGGGTAAGACAAATTTTATTTTTATTTTGATGCTGTACTCGTATAGAAGTAAAATCATGACTGAATAGCCATGCAACAGAATGAATAATATCCTCAATAATATGTTATGAGAAAAACAAAAGATTTGCTCAAGTCATGCAATTTCTATATAACACGTTAGAATAGAAAAAGTGTGCCTTTTTAATATTTCAATAGTCTATTTTTAAAGAAATCCATTTCTAATGGTTTTATGGTACAGTCAGCCTGGGCAATTAAGGACAATGCAAAAATTATTATGTGAAACAGCAGACGTAATGTTTGACAATGTAGATATGATAATATAACTTTTGGGTTGGGTCAAGGGAATTACTTCTTTCCATTCCATGATTAATAAGATACTGTATATTAGATACTAAATACAGTATTTTCCATCTATCATGTCTCTTCTTGAGTATACAAGAGGATTTTATACTGAGTTACATTATTAATCTAATTGACCAAATATTGCCTGTATTTCTTGGATCCAAGCAGGCTTCCCTAGTGCTAATATCCAGTCCTTAATATTTTCACTACTCTACTTCTGCATGCAAAGGAGCAAGTTAAGATTAATAATCTATCAGTCAGTAAATTGAGCAAGGAAAGGATTCTTATAATTTTTGAGGCAATTCATAATAATTATTGATGATGTGTTCAAATAGACCTCAGCCCAGGATATATTCAAATACAATTAAAAGAATCTTTTACGTTTTAATAAAATTATCATTTTCAGTATTTATTTAGCATATGGCATATCATACATGGATTAGCAATATAAATTAACACTCAACTAGATTAGTAGAACCCAGTAAAATATAAATATCAGAAAGGTCTATGTTCAAATATCAAGGTCTAGGTCAGTGGTGGTGAATCTATGGCACAGGTGCCAGAGGCGGCACTTGGAGCCCTCTCTGTGGGCACACGTGGCGTTGCCCCAGCCTTGCCTCCCCCATGACCCCCTTCTCTCCATCAGCCCCCCTGAAGAAGAGTCACCCTTGAGCGTGGCCCACACAGAGCAGCGCAGCCAAGGACATGGCAGCTAGGCAGCGTACACAAGTCTCTGCCCTCACACCCCATCATGCAGTTGATGCTGCAGGATGCGGGCAGAGGGTATGGCCGCCATAGCGCTGCTGGGCTGCCTGGGCGATCTACAGCGGGCCCTGGAAGTGATGAGTAGTCCTGGGGGTAGGTGGGGTGGGGGATGGGAGCGGAGCACGGAGGTGGCATGGGGCGGGGCCAGTTTTTGGGCACTCAGTCTCTAAAAGGTTCACCATCACTGGTCTAGGTCATCTAACCATTGAAGAGCAGCATGGTTTATATTAATTATAAATAAAAGAATAAAACACGATCACCGGGAGAGTTGAAGTAAAAATACTTTACTAAAAATATATTAATACTAAAAAGTTGACACATCTTGGCTTTCAGCTGGCCAATCAGGGCCAGTAACACGGTCTAAGAGCCGTGCGCAAATGTTACTTGAACCTACTTAAACCACCTTTACTGCAATGGCCTTTTAGCCCTGACGATGCTGGGGAGTTCCCCCAGCGAAAGCTTGGCAACTTTTTAGTATTAATATATTTTTAGTAAAGTATTTTTACTTCAACTCTCCCGGTGATCGTGTTTTATTCTTTTATTCATATATATATATATATATATATATATATATATATATATATATATAGATAGGTCTTTGGTTGTTCGGGTTTTCTCCCGCGTAAAATTGGAAGTGTCTTGGCAACGTTTCGACGAAGTCACATTCGTCATCTTCAGGCTGGTGTTTTTAGCTTCTTGCTTTGAGCAGCAATGTGTGGTCTTAGCTGTTTCTTCCTTTTAACTGCCAGTGGGGGTATGAACTGATTGGGTGGAGTTCTGATTGGGTGGAGGTGTGTTCTGAATGGTTAGGGGCTTGGCTGTGCTCTGATTGGCTCACCTGTCATTGCCCCATGGGATCACCACTCTCACCTGTCATTGCCCCATGGGATCACCACTCTCACCTGTCATTGCCCCATGGGATCACCACTCTCACCTGTCATTGCCCCATGGGATCACCACTCTCACCTGTCATTGCCCCATGGGATCACCACTCTCACCTGTCATTGCCAACCTCTACATGGAACACTTTGAAACCCAAGCTCTAGAAAAATCGGATCACAAACCCAAACTCTGGCTCAGATACGTAGACGACACCTTCATAATCTGGCCACATGGGAAAGAAAAACTGGACAACTTCCTCACACACCTCAACAGCCTACACCCCAAAATACAGTTCACCATGGAAACAGAAGCTAACAACCAACTTCCCTTCCTGGATGTCTTAGTCTACAAGAAATCCAATGGCTCCCTAGGACACACCATCTACCAGAAGAAAACACACACAAACCGCTATCTGCACGCTCTCTCACACCACCACCCAGCACAGATCAACTCTGTAGCCAAGACACTCATCTCCAGAACAAAACGCTTAGCTGACGAACAACACCTAAAACCCGAACTACACACTCTCACCAATGTACTAACATCCAATGGATTCCATAGAAATAAGATTACAAACCTAATCCAAAAAGAAACCCCCACTAAAATCCAAGACAAAGAACAAGAAAACGGCAAAGCCCTCCTCCCATACATAAAAGGCACCACAGACAGAATCAGTAAGATCCTCCATAAACACAACATCAAAACAGCATTCTGCACAAACAGAAAAATATCCACCATCCTTAGAAACCCCAAAGATAAAATTGAATTAGAAAATCAAGGAGTATACGAAATCCCATGCACCACTTGTCCCACCACATACATCGGACAAACCAACAGAAGAATAAGTGCACGCATTGAAGAACATAAGAACTCAGTCAAAAAAGAGGAACCAACATCTTCCCTGGTCCAACACCTTAAAGCCACAGGACATGAAATTGACTTTAAAAATACCAGAACCATTGCCAAAAGTGAACATTTTAATAACAGAATAATCAGAGAAGCCATCGAGATAGAAAAACGCCCACACAGCATGAACAAGCGAGATGATACCTCCCGCCTACCAGCCATTTGGAAACCCGCCCTTATTGACAAACGACTCCCTAACCCCAAAATCTTAAACCCCTCTGCAACTCAGACTAACCTGAGCACAACCAAACAGAACACTCCCCCAGCCAATCAGAGCACAGCCAAGCCCCTAACCATTCAGAACACACCTCCACCCAATCAGAACACAGCCAAGCTCCCACCCAATCAGTTCATACCCCACTGGCAGTTAAAAGGAAGAAACAGCTAAAACCACACATTGCTGCTCAAAGCAAGAAGCTAAAAACACCAGCCTGAAGATGACGAATGTGACTTCGTCGAAACGTTGCCAAGACACTTCCAATTTTACACGGGAGAAAACCCGAACAACCAAAGACCTATATACAAATACCCGCGAAAACCTATATATATATCAGATACCAGATCAGTATATTCCCGTATAGGTCACAATGTGATCTACAGTTTGATGTGGGGCCCTGCAGTCACACTGAGAGGAGGAGGCTATGCTCCATTTATACAGAGAGTTTCAGCAGACACAATAGAGAAGATATGAATCCTATTCAGGATTGTCTGTTGTTGACGTGGTAGTGCAAAGCCCAGCATCTTTTTTTGTGGTGTCATTTATATGTCTTCCTATGACTGGGCATTCATTTGGCTTTCCATTGGGAATCGATGTTAAAGTTGTTGGGCAGATGTTTTGCAAGTGTCCATGGATGGATTTAAGTTTTCCTGCTGATAAACGTGGAAAGTCGGCATGCACTGGAAGGAGTAATTTTTCTATATTCTCTCACTAGTGCATCCTGGCTCTGAAATATAACTGCAAACCTTAATAGATTCTGGCACCATGGACAACTATACTGAACCATCTGTAATCCACAAATGCAACAGGTCTGCTCAGCCTTTTGGGTTAGATTAGTGATGGGCTGCTCTTACAGGCAGCACCCTCCATGGAGTATATTGAATCTTTTCAACCCACCATCAGCATTTGGGAATCAATGACCTACAGATTTGTGAGCTGCATATTTACTGGGACCAGGATGACATCCCCTTGATTTCTGGGATTTAAGACTCAACCTTCATTATTCATCACACCCTGCAAGTACACTCTTTTACTTTGCCTGATAAATATGCAGGTTATGTTGACATATTTGAAAAATGTGAAACATTGATGCCGTCTGGCCTTTGGTTCAGCTACCACAGAATCAATCTTATTCCTGCAGTCCAAATTCATGCAAAATGCTACAGTCCAATGTTAACTACAGAATTAGCCTGCCTCAGAAATTTATTGATGAGAACTTACAGAAAGACTCTAATCTTTCTCCCCCACCAGTACTACCACTTTTTGTGTCAAAAAGGATGACCCATTCTTTCTCTCTCTTACACTCCTAGCTCTAGCTCAGTGATTCTCAACCTTTCTAATGCCGTGACCCCATAATACAGTTCCCCATGTTGTGGTGACCCCCAAGTGGGTGTGGCCACC